CTAAGGAAATAGCAAAGTCAATAATTAATGGAAATTTCATTCAACAATTTGAATACATTTATGACTATATAGATGAAGTGAAACGTTGGAATCAGGGCAGCACCAGGATTTGTCATAGAGAGGCATCACTTTTTCAAAGGATGTATGTTTGCCTTGGACCAATCAAGCAAGGCTTTAAAGCCGGTTGTAGACCTTTCATTTGCCTTGATGGGTGTTTTTTAAAGGGCATGTTTGGGGGACAGCTTTTGTGTGCGGTTGCAATTGATCCTAATGATTGTATGTACCCTTTGGCATTTGCAGTAGTTGAATCTGAGTGGAAAGATTCATGGAGTTGGTTTTTAGACCAATTAATGGATGACTTTGATATTGTAAATACACATGGATGGGGCTTTATGTCAGACAAACAGAAGATATTTTCAATTTAGCAATCAAGTGTCAAATGTTTATATTTCTATTTGTTTTATATATGACATAGGAATTGATTCCATTTTGTTTTTGTTTATGTATAGAGACTTGTACCAGCTCTTGAAGAGAAGTTTCCAAACTCAGAACATAGGTTTTGTGTAAGGCATCTCTACAACAATTTCAAAACAAATCACAAGGGTACAACTTTGAAGGAAATTTTATGGAAAGCTGCAAGGTCCACATATGAGCAAGAGTTCAAGCAAGCAATGTTTGAAATGAGATGTCGGTCACCAGAGGCAGCTGATTGGTTAGCAGAAAGGCATCCCAAACATTGGTCAAGGGCTTATTTCCAGACATGGACCAACGTTGACATGTTGGTCAACAACTTGAGTGAGTCCTTTAATAGTTTTATTTTGGATGCAAGGGACAAACCTATACTAACTCTAATTGAAACAATTCGAACCAAATTGATGAAGAGAATAGCAAAGAGAATAGATGAGGCAAAGAAATGGCCTGGACCTTTTTGCCCTAAAATAATGAAAAAAATTGAAAAGTTGAAGGAACATTCAGCCAAGTGTTTTCCAGAACCAGCTGGTGCATCCAAGTTTCAAGTTGAGTGTCATAGAAATCAATATATTGTGGAACTTCGAAGGAGGACATGTACTTGTAGAAAATGGGACCTTAGTGGCATCCCTTGTATGCATGCAGTGGCTGCCATCTTATATAATAATGAAAATGTTTACGATCATGTTCACCCCTGCTATAAAGTTGAAACCTTCATCAACATCTACAGCAACTTCATCACTCCCATTAGAGGTGCTCCCCAGTGGGAAAAAAGTGATATGCCACCTGTACAACCACCAGTTATAAGAAGAGCAGCTGGAAGGCCAAAGAAAGCAAGGAGAAAAGCTGCAGATGAAATGGAAAAGCAATCTGGAAAAATGGGAAGGAAAGGGGTTAAAATGAGATGTACTTTATGTGGCAACATTGGCCATAACAAGAGGAGTTGTAGACCTCAACCCAAGGACCAAAGGAATCTCAATGTTGGATATGAGCAACCTAAGAGGGGCAAGTTACCAGTAAGTTATTTTACTTCAGTTGTTTAAAAGAAATTGAAAAATCTTAAATGCCAATTTTTTTACTTAACATGTTTTTTTGTTTGGAAGGTTAAGAAGGCAGCTGTCATAAATGAAGCACTGGTTCCTAACTTAAGTGATCAGAACAATTCTCAGAGTCAAGTGACCACTAGATGGTTTGCCAATGTAAGTTTGGTGGTTTGTTGGTAAAAGCTTTTTCATAATTAATTTGATTAATTGGAAAATAATCTTTACCCTCTCTTTATATTTTTTAATCTAGGGGTCTAGTCAAATAGTGTATATGTCACCAAATGCTGCTCCTATCATTGTTAATCATCCACCAACTCAAGCTTATGCAACTTCATTTGAAGCTCCTTCAAATTTATTTCATTCTTATGCTTCATGCCAACCTTCAGATGATGCTTCATCTCAGGCAATGTCAACGATATCACAAGTAGAACCAAAGAAAAGAAAATACAAATAAGTGAATTTCGTTAAGCTTTTCTTTTCTTTTTCTTTTTTTTTTTTTCTCTTTTTGGATTTGGATGGATTGCTAGAGGTACAAACTTTAGAATTTAAATACTTATTCAAGAAATTTTATATTTTTTTATGAATGATAAAAAGCATTTCTATATGGTTTAATATATTATTTTAGCTTTGATTTTATTACTATTTGCATGGATAATATTTTATTTCAATAAATTTTACATTGTTTTCATTCTTTGTGAAAAAAAGACTTAAATGCATGAGAATATGAGTTTTTGGGATTAATTGAATATCTTTTGAAAGTTGAGAGACTAAATTGTAAGAAGAAAGGTCCCTTTTTGGGACCTAAATGAATGAATCTTAAGTTACGGAATCAAAATGTTTATTGCGTGAAACATGGAGGACCAGATCTGCTATTGTAGCATTGAAGAAATTGCAAAAGGGGCCTGGAAACCCGACACGAGTGTAGTGTCAACACGTAAGTCACGGTGTCAGCACCGTGCGTACAGTGTCCAGAGTTGATTTTCATGTTGCAATGCCATGTCAGATCTGATGTGGCATTTAACTTAGCCACCTTAACGGGGATTTAACATTTTCAGTTAATATTGACCGTGGGTGACTAACGGTTGGACACCTTGGGAAGTTAGGTGACCATTTTGTTAGGTTTAGAAGTTGAGTGACCAAAAGGTTGATTTTAATAAAGTTGGGTGACCACCCATGAGATTCACCCAATATAAATCTATTATATTATTAGTCTATATAGTGGTATAATGATAAGTTTCTTTAGAAGAAAAACTGAATCGGTTTTCTATCCTCTGTGGCGGG